TGGGGCACGAACACGTGTCCCCTGCATCGGCAGGCGGACTCTCAACCACTGCGCCACCAGGGAAGCCCCCACTACTATGTTTTGTACACGTGCTTCTTCCCGAGGGTACCGTATATTTCTTAAAGTCAGAGCAGTGTCCATTCATCTGAGTTCCCAAGCTCAGCACATGGTAGGTCTTCAATCAATACGTGCTAAATAAACCAAATTACATATGCTTTGCTCTTGTGACTCCCCCACAATACTCAGAAATACCACCCCTCATCCCTTACTATCAAATCCTACTTTTCTTTAAGTTTCAACTCAAGTCCCATCTTCTCAAGACTTTTCCAAAGCAATCCACTCTAATCTGATTCCCTCCTTTGCTCTCACACAGCATTTACAGGCTACGTCACTTATTCTAACACTTAGTAGTACAGACTAAAATGAGTGATTTTCAAATTATGTATAATAATTTCATCTGCAGAAGTTATATATTTCCAATTATTAGGCTCATTGCTCAAAAAAAAATAGGGAGCACCTCTTTTGGAACTGCCTCCAAACCCAGGTTGTCAGACAGATCCATAAATATTATCATATGATGGTCAATTCTCATTTCTGAGGTTGCACCACCAACAAAAGAATTCATAACTACGTCTGACTCTGATTTTTGGCCATTTTCGAAAATCAAATTCACCCTTAAAAGACAAAATTTGCCACCAAGCATAAGGTAATGTCAAAAGCACGCTGGGGGGGACTTCCCTGGTGGCGCAGTGGTTAAGAATCTGCCTGCCAATGCAGGGGACATGGGTTCGAGCCCTGGTCCGGGGAGATATCCCACATGCCGTGGAGCAACTAAGCCCACGAGCCACAACTACTGAGCTCACGCACCACAACTACTGAAGTCCGCACGCCTAGAGCCTGTGCTCCACAACAAGAGAAGCCACTGTGATGAGAAGCCCGAGCACCGCAACGAAGAGTAGCCGCTGCTCGCCGCAACTAAGAGAAATCCTGTGTGCAGCAATGAAGACCCAATGCAGCCAATAAATAAATAAATAAATAAAAAGCATGCTGGACATCACTGGAATAGGTTCGAATGTGTTTAAGTTAGATTATTTCTATGCTTTGCACTAACAATAATAGCAGCTACCATTTATTTGATATCCATCATGTTCCAGGCACTGTCCCGGGCACTTTATATGCATTAAATCTTTAAAAATTCTTGTAGCCACCGCTGCACAAGTATGAGGCATTATCCCCATTTCACAAATGAGGAAATTGAGACTCAGGCTATTTGTCTAAGGTCACAGATCTAACAGACCCAGCATACGTCTGCTCTTCCATAGTAAGAAAACTGCTACACAATGCTTTTCACAACAACCTCAAGTATTAAATATCTCCCGAACAAATGTATAACCCAGTGAGATGGAAATGTGTCTTTTGGTACCTGGGCCATGTTACCAAACAGTACATGTAGACTACTTGGCTTAACAGACAACACTGTCTTAGTAATAATAGTATATATCATTCCTCCTGAATTACTGTTAGAATTTCTATCAAGTAACCATAGTTAAGAATGAAACAGTAATGGGATGATTTTGTTATTGTTTTTGTTTTTGTTTTTTTAAAATATTTATTTGGCTGCACCGGGTCTTTAGTTGCAGCATGAGGGATCTTCGTTGTGGTGTGTGGGATCTTATAGTTGTGGCATGCAGACTCTTACTTGTGCCATGAGGGATCTAGTTCCCTGACCAGGGATAGAATCTGAGCCCGCTGCACTGGGAGCATGGAGTCTTAACCGCTGGACTACCAGGGAAGTCCCTGGGATGATGCTTATAGACAAGAAGTCTGGCACTGTAGGCCCAGTAAATGTTAGTTTTAGCTTCCCATAAAACACACTCAGAATGTCAACTCTCCCTCACTCTCCAAGGTCTGTATAAGTATGGACGGGGCCATTAGAGGCCATAATTAAAGAGAAATCTCCTTAACTCCTCCCAGCATATCTCTGAACCCCGTTTTCATTCCAAATCTGCCCAAACTGAAGCACTTTCAGGTCATCCTCAAAATATTTCCCTAAGACTCAGATTTCTCAGGGCCCTGAGAGTTTGCATCTACTGCGAGGGAGCGGCCAGGGAGAGTAAGGTAGATGGTCGGTCAGGCTCAAAAAGACACCAGCTAGACTCTGAGCAGGAGGCAGTGATGAGGGCCAACCTGGATGGGCAAAACGGAGCAGGACCAAGAGCTACCTGCTTGGCTCCCTCAGCACCCTCCCTCAGGGCCGGTCATCCTGACCAGATTCTGCCATCTCTAAGAAGTTTCTGAGCTCTTTGTCATATCCAGTTTTAAGACTTTCAAGTGACAGAGCCAGAACCCAAGGACCCCAAGAAACAAGCAGCATGCAAAAGAAACCCTGGGGTAGGAAGACTGACTTTTGTAATCCAAGATAAACCCTTATTAAAGAAAGCATGGGGCTTCCCTGGTGGCGCAGTGATTGAGAGTCCGCCTGCCGATGCAGGGGACATGGGTTTGTGCCCCGGTCCAGGAAGATCCCACATGCCGCGGAGCAGCTGGGCCCGTGAGCCATGGCCACTGAGCCTGCGCGTCCGGAGCCTGTGCTCTGCAATAGGAGAGGCCACAACAGTGAGAGGCCCGCATACCGCAAAAAAAAAAAAAGAAAAAAGAAAAAAAAAGAAAGCATGATGTTATTTTTTTTTAATTGAAGTATAGTTGATTTACAATGTTGTGCTACTTTCTGCTGTACAGCAAAGTGATTCAGTTATACATATTCTTTTTTTATATTGTTTTCCATTATGGTTTATCATAGGATATTGAATATAGTCCACTGTGCTATACAGTAGAAGCTTGTTGTTTATTCATTCTATATATAATCACTTACATCTGCTAAACCCAACCTCCCACTCCATCCTCTATTCTTTTGAAAAGAAAAAAATTCCCTTAAAAAAACAGTGTTTTAGAGATTTCCCTGGTGGTCCAGTGGTTAAGACTCCATGCTCCCAATGCAGGGGGACTGGGTTTGATATCTGGTCAAGGAACTAGATCCCTCATACCGCAACTAAGACCTGGCACAGCCAAAATAAAATAAATAAATAAATAAATATATATTTTTTAAAATAGTGTTTTGCTCTGCAAAGGAAAAATTCAGAAAACAAATGCTATGAACCAATAATAAGGGACTTTTTGGTCTCTGAGCACCCTGGGGAGGGTAAAAGACTACATACTCATTCAAATGTAAATAATTCATAAAGAAAAAAAAGTTATCCCATGTTTTCACACCATATGATTTATTAATAGAGATAAGTCCATGAAAACTGCCTAGAAGTCCTTTGCATAAAACCACTAAATTCGTCAGCACAGCACAGTTTATAAAGCACTTTTACACATCCTTTTATTTATAACCATCTCTGAAAAGTACTGTGAACACCATTTTACAGATGAGGAAACAAACTCAGAGAATCAGAGTGATCTGCCCAATGTCACAAAACAAGTGGAGCCAATACTCGAAAGATCTCTGACTAAAATATCTCAATTTTTTTTCAGAGTGTCACTCTTAAGAACTGCTGCTCTGGTTACTGACACAGAAAGCAGGCTGAGGCCTATGTCAGGCCTCGAAGTTGGTGATGGCTAGTAGACAGAAGAACAAGGCTCATAACTTCACATTTTTCTAAAGAAATCACAAAAAAAGAACTGAGAAGTGGGAAGCAAGAAGTCTGCAGACATTTAAAACAACTCAGTTCAACCCACAGAAATTACATTTTTCTCTGCTTCTATTCCTGGTTGGCTTCAGAAAGATATGGGCTCTGCTCAGATAAAGGGTCATTTTTAAAAATCCCTAAGTTAAAAAAAAAATTTTCTTTTTAACCTAAACTTTGTAGAGTCAAAGGTCACGTTAGGACTATATCCTTATGGCTGAAGCCAGGGAGATACAGGGTCGGCCATGTACCAGGCTCCTGTGTGACCGCCTGATGCTACTGCCAGCTCCTAGAATACAAATCTCTGTACCTAATCAAGCAGCAGTACCAGTTAATGGGCCTTTAATACATACTTCCTGATGACACACCTGCTTAATCGATGATCTCATCTATACCTGCAGGGACTGTTTAAAATCAAAGTTCAAAAGCCATTTGTGGAGGCTGCGGCTCAAAGCCCAATGAAACAAGAGAATACAGGAGCCAAAATTCCTAGGTCTGAGAAGGCCCCAGCATGGTCTCGTTCACTCTCTACTTTCAGTCAGGCTATTTTGTAAGATGACACGACCTCTCCCACCTTTTTGAAGGTTCCTTAATCCCCTCCTTACCCAGTTCAGGACCATGGTCCCTTGTTACAAGCACCCCCTTACACACACCCTTAACTCCCTTGCCCTGCTCTCCATTACAGTCGCACATGCCTAAAAAACGCTAACCTGGTTAAATACAACTCTGCTCCAACTCAGTACCTGCAGAACACACACCAAGCTGATGAATCTCACTTGAAATGTGTGGCCCCTAAGCTCGAGCGGGCCTTCCGTGATCCTAGCACACTTCTCTCCTCCACTCATTCTCCTGCATGCCCAGATGGCCATTTTGTGCCCTCTTTCCTCTCTCCTCAAATCTCCCTCTATTTCCGTACCCTCATTCACAGCATATGTTCTTGCTTTCAATTTCACCCAGAATATAGAAGAAAAAAAAAAAAAAAGGGCTTCCCTGGTGGCACAGTGGTTAAGAATCTGCCTGCCAATGCAGGGGACACGTGTTCAAGCCCCAGGCTGGGAAGATTCCACATGCTGCGAAGCAACTAAGCCCATGCGCCACAACTACTGAGCCTGCGCTCTAGAGCCCGCGAGCCACAACTACTGAGCCTGTGTGCCACAAGTACTGAAGCCCACGTGCCTAGAAACCATGCTCCGCAACAAGAGAAGCCACTGCAATGAGAAGCCCGCGCACCACAAGGAAGAGTAGACCCCGCTCCATGCAACTAGAGAAAAGCCTGCGCGCAGCAACGAAGACCCAACGCAGCCATAAATAAATAAATAAACACATTTATTTTAAAAAAGTTTTAGAAGAAACTTTCCACATGCTCCTACCACTACACCCACCTACCTACTTGCTTCTTTGCCTATATGCTCTGCCTTCCCTCCTGTTACCACAAAGAACTGTGTTCTTATCTAAGGCCAGCCCTTGACCTGTGGATCAGGTTCCATTCCTTCTTGCCTCCCCAAGGACACTATCCAGGCAATTTCCTCCTCTCTACTGGATCATTCCATCAGCGCACAAACAGATGCTGAAATATCTCCTGTCTTGGGTGGGGTGGGGTGGGGGGATCCAACCCTCAATCTCTCATCCTCCTCCAGCAACCATTCCACATACCTGTACCCCCCACTCCCCTTTACAGCAAACTCCCTAGAGTTTCTCTATTGCTATCTTCATCAAGTCCTCTCCTATTCTGGCATGCTTGAACCTACCCCAATTAGACTTTCACCCTCACGCTCCCTCCAGCACTCCACTGAAACTACTTAGAAGGGTAGTTTGGGGGTCCCCAAAATGACTCCCACGTTGCTGAGACCAATGTCATTCTCAGTCTTCAACTTACCTGACCCACCTGCAGCACAGGCCACAGCTGCTCACTCACTCTGTCCTGGACTTTCTCCATTACTCTCTTGGCATTCCTCCTTTCTTCCTCACTAGAGGCTCTTTCTCAGTTTTCTCTGCTTATTACTCTTATCACTCTCACCTGTCAATGTAGGAAGGCCTCAGGCCTGGGACCTCTCCTCTTCTCTATACTCACTCCCCAGGTGATCTCACCCCAGCATGTGGTTCTCAATATCCTTCAAATTTCTCTCTCTAGCCCAGACCACGCCCCTGAACTTCAGAGTCTGAGAGTCAATCGACAATTGGTTATTTCCTCTTGGATGTCTAACGGGCACCTCAAACTTGACATCCAAAACTGAACACCCACCTTCCCCCAAACCTGCTGTAATCCTATCCATCTACTCAGATTATTGCACTAGCCCCCTAAGTGGTCTCCTTTGGCCCCTTTGTCCTCCTGCGGTGGGTTCTCAACAACAGAGCCAGCTGCCTTTTCAAAAGGTAAATCAAAGCTACTCCTGTGTTCCAAGCCCCCGTGCCGCGCCAGTGGCTCCCCATCTCACACAGAGTAAAACCCAAAGTCTTCACAAAGTCCTCCAATGTCCTCCCGTGGCATCTGGCTTTCTGA